GGTGATGATGACTAATTGTCGCCCTACCCCCATCTCTTTTGTCTCGTGTAGAAATTATAACCTTGCCCATATCTGCCTCTCTCAGTTCATATTGTTACATATAAATTGGTATTCTATTATTTTTTTAAATGCCATGGGTCATACCTCTCATGCATAAAAATTAGTTGGGGTTTACTAAGTGTAAGGAGGAAGCCCGATTTTGAAACAATATGAATGTTATTCATTGGAGAAAATGCAGACCTACGATCAGAGGATAATAAAGTTCAGTGAATGTGCTATTCCAGAAGTTGCACCAATTACCCATGTGTTTGCAAATGTTACTATTTCTTTTACTTGGCAAATGTATGTATTTATTAATTTGATTCAACTTCTGTTTATTTCTTCACTGCCCTCAATGAGAAAATATTGTGCATTTATGTTCCATTTGTATTATCAATAGCAATGTTTTGTTTTTTAATAATACCATGAACAGAGCCGTTGTCTGTATTCCTGAACTGTTGCACGTTATCAAACTTAAACAATTTGTTTGTCTGCCATACTCCTGCTTGTGACAGGCTGGTGCAGCCCCCTCTTCCTCTTTGGAACTCGGCCTCATTAATGAATACTTCTTATAAACATTAGCATGCCAGTTGACTTCGAGGCCCATATGCAAAGTACGGTAGTTATAAAATGCATGATTATCATATCATGTTTACTGTGAAGTGATTTGCAATTGTTTGATGAATTCAACCTCTGAGCTTTTTGTGTACAAAATTTATGTCAGAACAAGTTCAACATTCTACATATTATTATTTGTCTTGGGAAGTAATAAAGTTTTTTACAGTGTAAACTATGGTTCAACTATTTTAGCATTTGTCATAGGATGTACAGAATGTTTAGGATTTGTTGCAGCTTGCCAAATTGTAAGTTTTCTTTGCTATTTTGATGTACAGTGAGTGACGAAATAAAACTGACCAGGAAACTACTATTATTCTTCCTTGCATGAGCTCTTAGGAAAATCACCAGCAGTGTTTGTTTTGACTTGAACATTTTCTATATCTTAACAAGCAGATTCCCATACAACCGTTTTCATGAGGGATACATGCAACTAGAGTGCAGTGAAAATTACTGATTCAAACAGAGTAGGTGTATTTTGATTCAAAACTCAGACAGAATTTTAAAGCGAGAGAGTCGTCACCTGCGCATGCGTCAGATGGCCATAGCGTGTCAGTGTTTATAAACAAGCGTCTACCCATAACCCTTTGCGTTTTTAGCGTGTGTTATTGCTTGGGACTCAATTCCCACGTGTGCGCAGGTGATGATTCTCCCGCTTTAAAGATAGAATTGTGTGAATAAAGAATACAGTAGACTATTACAATCATACAAGTATTTACATTTAAACTTTGTTGATTAGTTGATCACTAAGCTGGAATTTCATTTCAACACACCCTGTCAATTATATTCAGACTTTCAATATATGTATAAATGGTGATGTTACAATTGAAGGCAAAGATGTGATGTGACAAATGCTGCTGGCAATGTTCATAAAAAGTTGCAAGGAAGATAATTTCTTCTGTTCTGTTAATTTAGGGATCAATACTCAGTCTTCTCCTTTCCCCCTCTAACAAACGGTGTTCTGATCTGTAAATCCTGACTTTATTTCTGTCCCATTACACTCTGTTCATTATGGCTTTTTTTCAATGAATTAATAAAAATTTAAGCTATACTCATTGCAGGCTATATGTTGTTTTGTACTAATCTGTTAAAACAGATTCTTCTGTGTGAAATATCTAGTACCAAAGGGTTGATGTGGATTTCTTTGGTTGGTCAGTTGCTATGCCCATTCACTTTTCATTCAGGAGTGTGTAGTTTTGTGCAGATATTTTACTTTATTGTTGGCATCTATGTTAGCTTTGACATTTTGGAAAATAATGGAAAACTTCTTCATTCATATACAAGTTATGACATCTTGCTATTTTCTGCATACTTTTGAAATTTTGGATGTGGAGGCTTGTGAGAAACCTTGACAAAGGGGCTCAACTTGGACAAACTTCTGGCAACTTAAAAATCGCCCCCAACGAACTGGGTACTAGTTCATGATTTCCATTCTCTACTGAATTTACTCTTGTGAGTCATACACAAGCGTTAGGTAAAATTAATTATCACATCTCACTGCTGTTACGCATTCTGTGATTGCTTGAGACTTGGTCACATGACATTGAATACAAATGGTAGTACATGGTATATTGCCCGTCGCTGAAACTACAATAGACAGCGAACATGCCAGAATGGATATTAAGTAAGTTACGATGTTTAGGGTATTCTTTATATGAAGCAAAAATGTAGGCAAAGCCGCCACTGAAACGTTGCAGCCGGGATCGCTGCGTCGCGTTCTACGATGCGAGTCATGACCACCATCCCATTGGGCAGGCAACAAATCGTGATATTACCCTCACAAACGTGTTATTATTTAACTAGTATCTAGCAAACGAGTCATTTTTTGCTTTATGCGTTCTTCTATGGATATTTATTTCCAATAAGGGAAATCTTGACGCCTTTGAATTCAACTATTGTTATATAAGCAAAGTTGTGTATAAAAGCACGTATTAATTTCTTTTCGAGACAAACCCACAAGGAGGATTGTTTTCAGTAAGTGAAACTGCAAATTGTGCAAGTTTCTGACGAAATGGTTTCACATGGCAAATAATTTTATGCTTGGACGCATACTGTTACTTCTATCTATACTGTTACTCGCTCGAAATGGAAATGTTAGCTCTTTTGATTTCAGTGTTGTGAGCATGTGTGCTGATGACTGTACTATGAACTTTGCATGGAGTATTTAGCATGTTACGACTGTGACTCGTAAATAAACTGGAATTTGATTTTGCGTTTCAACACCAATTTGCGACACATTCAAATTGTTTTCATACTTATTCCTGTTCCTATTCCTCGCATTTTATGTTTTGATTGGTTAGCTTTCCCACTGCTCTCGTAGCTTGATATGTTCCATCTGTCTGACACCAATGATCAATTTTTCATTAAGAAACTACATGTAATCTACAACCTCCGAGTGAGACTTTTAACAGTCTGAAAGCATGTCTTTTATTATTTTTTTTTACATGGCTAATTTCATTTAAACTACGTAATCGTATATTTGTGTCCTCCAAGTAGAAATGATGCACTACTGACACAAATTTGATTTGACGCAACTACCGGTAGTTGTAATTTTGGAAACAATACAATTTTATTTTTTCTAGTGTAAACTGCCCTTTCGAGCAGTCAACTAACTCACTGAACTTGATTTTTGGGGATTTCATTTTGATACTGGATTCCTACAAAACGTTTAGGTTACGGTGAATAATAAGGATACTTGTACAGAGGAGGCAAATATAAAGTATTAGAGAAATACACGTACGACTGAAACAATTGGCCATATTACCAAAAGTGGTACGCTCAAGGTGGTAAAATAATAAATTTCATACAAATTAGGGGAGAGAAACTATGTGTGGCCATGTGTATGTTGGCAATGATAAGCCAGTATCCATTGTTACATTGAAAAAGCAATCAAGGAGCAGAAAAACCATTATCAAACATTACTGGGTCGTTATTCGCTGTTTGCAATTCACTCATTCACTTCTGTTACGTCCATGTTATAGGATCTCGGGATTACAGCAGTTACGTTCATGTTAGTCGGGACCCATTCGGCTCGTGCCGAAGTTACGCCCTCATTCGTTGTTGTGTGATCCAAACAAGGAAAACGATACGCATATGATGATAATAATACTATACTTATCCATTTGTTATGGTATTTATTACGAGTTATTGTGCTCGTGAACGGCAAAGAAGATTCGAAAAACAATTATTTGTTCACGTCAATGTAGCATTGCAAGAAAATAGAAGTTGCAGCAGCACATAAATATGCGTCGCTGACGACGGTTTGCATTCATTTCATTCATTACCATACATACCTTGGCTTCCCTCCATCGTCTTGTCATACTAGTATGATCAGTATACGTTTTCTTAAATTCACCACTGAGGATGTGATTTCGTGCCGAGTGTTCAGGCAGCAAATCTCGGCACATGCATACATCGGGACGTGTCGACTCGGTCCGGGGTCCCGGCACGTGCCGAGATCTCTAGCGTGAACGCCACGGTACACTTCTATTACGTTTACGCTATAAGATCTCGGCACGTGCCGAAATTTGTAATCCCTTGTGTTTGCAGAGGAATTACAGCAGTTGTGTTCACGTCAGTTGGCACCACCCTTTTTAAAGTTCCTCTTGGATCATTGTTTCGATCAAAATGTTTCGATTATCAATTTGATACAGGAATCATGGCTGGCATGATTTGATCACTATGTGTGCTGTAGTACTGTACATGCAATTTTAGCGATTTGTGGTAAAATGACGTTATAGCGAAATGTTGATTTTGCGAATCTCTCTTGTCATTGTTAATTTCCAGTTTTCACAATACTTGTCTGTC